CTGATTTTAAATTACGTATATATTACAGTATTATATCAATTTTTATTGAATTTATTATGCCAAAAAAATTACCGGCCGAAAAATTTTTCGGCTAATTTTTTTATAGGTGTCCAAGGAATAATGAAAACAGCTGTAAAGGCTGAATTTTATCCAGATTTGATTTTTATCCGGAATTTATCAAAATTTTACGAAAATGACCAGCAATTAGTATATTGTTTGCAATTTCTGAAACGATAATAAAACGATAATCTGGAGAAAGTCAGGTCAGGATATATTTTTTAAAAAATTTTATAGGGCGATAGAAGTCTCAAATAATTCAATACATACTAACTCAAACTTAACTATATCTCAATTATTCTAATGCAAACCAACTCAACCAAAATTAGCAGTCACCGGAATATCGAGTAATTTTGAAAACAGAATACGCTAATTCCAATACAAACTAACTTTAATCATATACTATGGTCGCTGGAGTGTAAAGTAAGTCCTGTAATAGAATTTTTAAAGTATCCCATCATAAAAATCATGCAATTTTCAATACAAACAAACTCAACCTAACTACATGTTATTGTTACCGAAGTGGCAAATAAGTTTTGTAGCAAAATTTTCAAGTAACTCTATAAAAATCATGATAATGTCAACTCAATATAACCACATGTTGCGGTCATTGGAGTAAAAAGTTTAGCGACAGAACATTTTGCACTAATTAATAGTAGAAATTGTGACAGTTTCAATACGAACAAACTCAAACTTAACCTGTGTGTTTATTGTATTAACGAGTAAGTTATGTAACAATTTTTTTTTCAATAAATAGAACATATCGTGTGTACTGCGATAATTGTTAAATTCTGTATAAGATGGGTCCACCTATCACACTATGAAAGCATGGAAGGCATACCACTATTCCAAGGTATTTTTCCTACAATTCTCCTTGTAATCCCATCTTTAACACGGGTTTAAATTTATCAGGAGTTTGTATCCCCTTGCCAATAAATCCTTCAAGCATTCTAGGTACGGTATACGGAAATGGTGCTTCTTTTGGTGCTGAAACAGCATCTAACTTTGCCATTTGTTCAGGTGTTAATCTATTTATTTATTTATTTAATATAAATGATAAGTATGGTTTAATTTAATACAAAGATGCAGTAATGAAAATTTAAAAAATTTACTTGAATTCAAGAGCTTTAAGATTTTCAACTAATTGAGTTTTTGTTCTAGCACCAATAAGAGGAGAAGTAATACCAGGTTTTTGTTATATCCAATTAAAAGCGACCTTTTAATTTAAATAAAAAATGAATTATAAAAATGTAAGTGATTATTAACAATTTAAGTCATGAAGTTACCTGAACAGGACTTCTCTTGGTTTCGGCAGCAATAGCCATAACTTCATCAAGGATTTTCCAATTTTGTTCACTTTGTGCATGACGAACAACTAGATTACCTCGCATATTGCTCTTATCTGAATTGGCAATTGATTCCCTGGTGTATTTTCCAGTCAAGAAACTTGGTAAAGATAATAAAAATAAGAACACAAATCAGTATAAATCAACTCATGTGTAATATCAAAAAACAATTTAAATGATTACCCTTCAGCAATACATGCCCAAGGAATAATTCCAATCTTTATGATAAAATTAGCACGTTAGTAACGTTATCATTAATAAATTATGAAGGAATGTGTTGAAGCATAATTACGCACATCAAGTTCAGCACAAGCAGATTGTAAATCATATTCCAAATCTCTATTTAATAAATTATATCGTGTTTGCAATCCAATAAATCGACTTATATGTAAATTAAAAAGGTTTGTTATTTTTTTATCGTTACAATATGTAATATATACATCATTATATGCATAGTATTACCTCCAACCACGTAATTCAGCCATCGTATTTGCACGACTAAATACCCATGCTGGTGTATCACTAATCGCAATATAGAGTACCTGGATTAAAATACTAATTATTAATATATAACTATTCATGCAAATTATCATACTTAAGATTAGATATCAAAAAGCCTACCTTGCCACTTCTAACAGCATCATCTAAAGAACGCATTACTTCTTCAATAGGGGTACGATATTCCCAAGCATGAACATACATAAGGTCAATATATCCAGTGCCCAGTCGTTTAAGACTTTCATTGAGATTTTCGACAAGAGATTTGCGGTGATTTCCACCTTTAAGAGAAATTTTTTTAGAACTCATCATATCAGCACATCAATATCATGAAATAAGGAATAAAATTACCTCCATTCGGATTAAGTCTGACATTTGGCAGCATAGCGGTGGAATTCACTTTATAAATTTATGAATAAAGGTAAAATATATAGCATATAGTAAATAAGAATTTTTACAGTGAAGCAAATAACAAGATTTACTTACTAGTATATTTGGTGGCGAGTACAACATTAGAACGTTTATCAGCGATATATTCTTTAAGAAATTGTTCGCTCTTTTCGTTATTTAAAAAATTAGTATATAGAATATACTAGAGAATATAATATTAAAATCAAGGCCCATCATTACCTCACCAAAATTGTATATGTTAGCAGTATCTAAAAATAGTAAGCTTCATATGAGTTTAATATCATAATATATACAACGCATTACATACACTAAAAAAAACTAAGATGTTGATCGGCCCTGCAGTAATTGTAAATCGACTTTAAGAAAGTTTGTGAACTATAGGCTTTTTATAGGTCTTTAGTCATATGAAATTGTAGAAAAGTTATTGTTTTTCAATAATTATAATAAATTTTACTAGTTTTTGATCAGTTTGAATTAGTTTTTGTGTACTTTAGATGGAACCGAACATTGTGAATAAAATTAGATCGGTTCATAATTTCAAAACTATTGCAAAGACTGACAAAATTATTTGACATATATAACTTTTTTTAGCATTTATTATTATTAAAAAGTTAAAAAAATCAAACTTGCAAAATCGGCCAACAATTGCCACAGGTCCAATTATTTATTGTTATATTGAATTATGTGATTTAAACATACCAAAGAAATTTCCACCTTTTTCATAATAATAGTCGAAAACATTCTTACACTCCTCAAAATTCGAACCTATTCCCTATTTAGTATGTATGAAACAAAATAAAATGCTTGTAAGCAAACATGATTTCATATCAAATAGAGTACACATACAAAAGAAAAGTCTTACAAATTTTTCGCCAAAAGTCTAGAATTGAATTGTTAAATAAGTTTTTTTAAAAAAAAACCAAATGAATATAATACTAGAATTAATTGTTATACCATTGTACCAAGGCATAGAGGAGAAACTCTCAAACCACTACGTCCTAGAAGAACATAATCGTCAAGAGCTCCAATAGTTTCTTTAATTTCTGTTGAGTCTTGAGCCATTTTGAATTTTCTTTTTTTGTTTTCTTCACGTAACTAAAAGGAATGTTGGCACAATTTATAAATACGTACATACATGCATGAATATACTATGGATAAATTATTACCAATGTTTACCATTTATAATCTCAGCGGTGGAACTTTGTCACATATACTATATTTTATCTACACTACTTCTTCCTAGAGGCTTGTGTTACATAATTCACATGTTTTATTTATATATAAACTTTAAATTGTTACAACTCTTAATTTAAAATATAAATTCAAATAAAATTAATTTAACCAAATTGTATACTGTAATAATTAAAAATTTTTTAACTAAAAAAAAATTTAATAAAATTTGAATCAATAGTAAGTTTTTTAAAATAGCTAAATTAGTTTATCGGCTTATGCTGTCCCACACTATATAAATCTTTATGTGTTACTTGATTATCTGCTTAGTAATTTTTAACCTATAATCAATTATCAACTTAAAGAATAAAGTATTTAATCTCACTATTTTTAGATTTCTTGCATCGTACGTACGCACGGGTTCGGTTACGGTTATAGTCGTTTTACCGACGGTTATAGCCGTAGTCGGTCATCAGAGCGGTTTAGACGGCCGGCTAAAATTGTAATCGATGTTAGATTTTTAATATAAATAGTAATTATGGGCACTAAGTTTTTCCATTTTAGGCCATATAAAGTTAATTTTTTTGTTCTTGCAACATAAAACAAAAAAAAAAAAAAGACCCACCGCCCGGACATTTTTTTAAATCATAAATTAAAGCTTTATTTTTATAAAGTTATGACCCAGAAATGCATAATAGAATTTTGGTCAAACCTATAACAAAAACGATAAGAATTCCTGTTTACTTTGGGTTAAGCCGGTTAAGTATATAAAAAATAAAATCGTTTCCCACTGAGCAATGAGACTGGACGGGCTATTAGACTAATTAAATATAAATTATTATAGATCATTACCTGTTTATTATTGTAGACACATTCAAATTATTAATTTATTACTCGTTTTATTACATAAAAGCTACTTCTAAACTAGAGATGCGATCCGTTATCCATTTTCTTATTTAAGGATTCTAAAATTAAATTAGAGGATATCCGGATCACATCTCTAACTCTAAAAAAGTATTCAACCCTGTCTATTATTATTAGAACTAGTGATGGCAAGTGCATGAATTTTGAGAATCATGCACATGATTTTGTAGGTATATTTTAAATTGAACTAGGTGCCGCACAAAAAATGCACGGCAGATCCTCGATTTTGATTGGCTAAAACAAACTAAGCCGGAATTACTCATAATTTTACTAATGAAATCGCAGCCGCCCATTAAGTAAAAATTGTTCCTGGGTCAATTTTACCATAATGCGTGCTTATTTTTTTAAAATTTCTATTTTCTAATGAAAAAATTAAAAAGTTAATTCCGGCCGGAATTTAGTAAACAATTTTGTAATGCGGACCAAAATTTCGAAGATCTTCGGCCGTTAGCCAATCAAAATCGAGGATCTGCCGCGCATTTTTTGTGCGGCACCTAGGTTCAATTCAACTAGATGCTGCGGCAAAGTTTTTTAAAACTTTAAACGAAGGTATCTTGACAACCACCTGGAATTCAGTAAAAATTTTTTATTTTAATTATAATAGTTTGTAGAATTAAAATAAAAAAAATTTATCGAATTTTATTAGGTGGTTGTCAAGCTATCTTCGTTTAAAGTTGAGTCAGGATTTAAAACGTCCATCAATTAGAACTGCGACAAATTTTTTTAAACCTTTAAACAAAGGTATCTCGACAACAACCTGGTAGAATTCAGTAAGATCTTGTTCATTTAATTATACTAGTTTGTAGAATTAAAATTAAAAAAATTTTTATCGTATTCTGTTAGGTGGAAAAGGTTTGCCGCAGCTTCTAATTAATTGATAGACGTTTTAAATTTTAGCTCACTTTAAACAAAGATATCTCAACAACGACCAAATAGAATTCGATATAAATTTTTTTATTTTAATTTTGCAAACTATTAGAATTAAAATTAAAAAAAAATCATTAAATTCCATCAGAAAGTTGTCAAGATATCTTCGTTTAAAGATTAAAAAAACTTTACCGCAGCTTCTAATTGATGTTTTAAATCTTGGCACAATTTTAAACAAAGGTATCTCGATAACCACCTAATAGAATTCGATAAAATTTTTTTTGTTTCAATTCTACAAACTAGTAGAATTAAAAAAAAAAACACTCAATTACATCTGGTAGTTGTCGAGATACCTTTGTTTAAAATTTAAAAAATTTTGCCGCTGACTCAACTTTAAACGAAGATATCTCAACAACTACCTGATGGAATCCGATAAAAATTTTTTTATTTTAACTCTACATGTCAGTAGAATAAAATAAAATAAAATTACTGACCATAATTAGCGGGTTGTAAAGATATTGTTATTCTAACTTTAAAAAAGGTTTAATAAAATTGTTTACTTAGGATTAACTAGTGCGACGGGTGGCGCGAAGCGCCACCCATCTTATTTATTTAATCAATTTCTTTTAAAGATTCTTTACAGTATTTATTATTTATTGCGATATGTAATTAAATTTTAATAAGTTTAATCGGAATTATTTATTAATGTTGTTACAGTTGAGATTATCAATTTTTATCATAATTCAAAGTAAAAATTTCTATTTTAGAACTTCTATTCGATGATTATGGTATGTAGTCACAGTTGAGTTTATTGCATTAGAATTATTATTACGGTTAATCACACGTTCTCTTGAAACACAATCGTTAAGGTGAATAGAATTAAACTTCATACTCACCTTGATAATTTATTGAACGATTGAATAATTACAGTTAATCAATGTCATATAATACAATCATTAGAGCGAATTGAATTAAACTTCATACTCACACTGGTAATTTATTTGGATGTTTAAATAATTACAGTTAATCACACGTTTTCTTGAAGCACAATTGCTAAAGCGAATCGAATTACCGTATTTTCGCGAAATAACGGGCATGGACGTTATTTTGAGGTTTGGCTCGAATTAAGCTTAATTTAGGTCGAAATTTGTAATTTCACTCCTGCACATTATTTTGTGAAAATACGGTAAACTTCGTACTCGTCCCGGTAATCTACTGAACGATTGAATGATTACGATTAATCAATGTCTTGAAACACAATCGTTAAAGCGAATCAAATTAAACTTCATACTTGCCCTGGTAATTTATTTGAATGATTAAATGATTAGGTTAATCACATGTTCTCTTGAAATACAATCGTTAAAGTAAATCGAATTAAAATTTGTACTCACTGGTAATTTATTCGAATGATTGAATGATTACAGTTAATCAATGTCTTGAAACACAATCGTTAAAGTGAATTAAATTTAACTTCATACTTACCTTGGTAATTTATTTTAACGATTAAATGATCACAGTTAATCGCATGTTCTCTTGAAACACAATCATTAAGGTGAATCGAATTAAATTTCGTACTCACCCTAGTAATTTATTGAGCGATTGAATGGTTATGGTTAATCACATGTTCTCTTGAAACACAGTCGTTAAGGCGAATTTAATTAACTTCATACTCACTTTGTAATTTATTGAATAATTGAATGATTATAGTTAATCAATGTTTTAAAACACAATCATTAAAGCGAATCAATTTAAACTTCGTACTCACCCTG